CTTCAGGACTCTTCAAAAGAGTATCAAAGCAGTAATTCAGAAGAACTGAACCTATAGTGTGGACAAGTCACATTTGACATTTTCATCAATGAATAAGTATATGTAGCAACTATTTAGAGCACTCATGAGTACTCTTTAATAAGGGATCTTGGCCTTGAACTTCTTGGGTAGCTGAGGAACTTCCTGAGTGTTGACATTACAACACTGTGCTGGGAATCTGTAACTCTGGCCTCTGTATATGCTAAGCAAGCATGTGCCAGCTGCACTAGATCCACAGCCCTACAGGGGTCTCTTGGCATCTGTGGGGAGGGGGGATTATATAAATACTGACTCTATGGATGTTCAAATACCTTATATAACATGGTTTTCTGCTTGCATATAATCAAACACATTCTTCTACCTGCTTTAACATTTTTTTTAAAAGTTTTCACTTAATTTTAAGTGTAGGTGTGTGGGCTTGAGTGTATGGATGCCCACATGTGTGCAGGAGTCCTTGGAGATCAAAAGAGACATTGGTTCCCCAGAATTGGAGTTATGGTTATGAGCCTCTGTGTAGGTGCTGAGAACTGAGTTCAGGTCCTTTGAAAGTGTAGTAAGTCTTCTTACTACACTGAGCCATCTCTCCAGCCCCTCCCTTGTGTTTTAAGTCATCCCAAGACTATTTATGGTACCTCATACAGTATAAGTGGTGCAAAAGCAGTTGCTTCACTGTTATCTAGAGACTAATAATAGGAACCTATGTTTTTGGCATAGGTACAATCATTTTTTCTTAACACTTCCAATATGGGATTGGCTAAATCCATGCATGCAGAACCCACAGAAAATGAGGATCCTTTGTACTGGGGTGTGGACTATGGCATTCAGAGTTTAAAGGTAGTAGAGCAGAGAGCTAGAACTGTGAGGTTGGCTCTTCACTTATATGTTCCATGAGAGGGCTGAGTCTCTTCAGCCCTCTAAGCCTCATTCCTCCTCTGTAAAGTGAGAATAGTGATGATTCCTCACTTGCGGTGGTTGCTACGATAATTAAAGCAGATAAAGTATATAAAGCACTTAGCACATAGCCTGAGACATAGTTAGGTTTATAAACCCCAAGAATGGTGTTGTCAGTCCTGTTATTATCTGTCAGTCCCTCCATCATGGCTTTTATGGGGGCCGGGAAAAAGAACATTCTAGTCTTGTTGATCTTTTCTTTTGACACCACCTTTCTCTAATATTTTCTTAATCGGTTGGTTTATGTTACACCAATCACTTCCTTGTAGCTGGGGTGTTGCCCCAATTAAAGGGAATTCACTGCCTCTCTATCTACAGTTTCTCAGTGTTTCAGTCTTAAAGGTACAGTGATTTCCTGCTTTTCTAGTCAAGCTGGCCTCTCTGTGGAAGCTTAGAATGGCCAAGAAAGGTATCATGTTAGAGGCCCTGGGCGTGTTCTTGACTTTGACTCTTCTGATATGAGAGTTCTTCACAGACTGTACACCTCAGAAGTTACTAGAAGACAGTTTCTGTGAACTGGATCCATTGATGGCTGCTATCTGTTCCACTTGGCTTTTTTTCTGTTGGCAGCAGCCGCAAACACCTGAGTCCCTAGCATCTCTCTCTTCCGTCAATCAACAATCTGTAAGCTGATTCTTAAATGCTGTCTCCTTTGCCTGCAGCCCAGTGTGGGCTGGAACTTTGAAGCGTTGAATGTATCAGGCCTTCATCAAATGATGCTAGAACATTCCTTAGTTGGGTAGTAGGCATCTTCATTTCTTCCTCCTGCCCACTCAACCTTACCCCAGGGTATACCCATTGTGGAAAACAAAATAGGGCTGGCCTGGTAAAGTGGTTCACAACTGGGGGCAATTTTACCCTTCAAGGTTATGCTTGGGGACATTTCTGTTGTTATTATGAGATAAATGATGTGATTGGCATCTACTGAGTAGAGGGAATGGATATTGCCCAATATCCCATAGTACTCACAACCATCTCCCAGAACAAAGAGCCACCTCAGGCACTCCTTCCCCTTCAAGTGATGGGGAACTTCCAAAAATATAAAGAGATTAAATGAAAGATGGGCTAGAGTTTGATTTTTGAATTTTATTTCTTTATGGCCAGTAAAGTCGGATACTTACTTATACCACTGTATTATGGTCCAGGATTGAAGGGTTGGAAATGTAGCTCAGCAGTACAGCACTTACTGTATTTCCCCAGCTCCCAAAAACAAAACAAACAAAACCCAAAAACCTAACTGTTTTGTCTGACTCACAGACCAGTAATGTCATTTGGAATATGATACTTATAGGAGAAGAGAATGAAATGGAGAGCAGGAGGAAAGAAAGCATATGATAGACTGAGCAAGGTGTGTCTACCACAGCACTGTGGACATCTGGGGGCAAGGTAGCTTTTTGTTGTGTGGAATGGTTCTGTGCATTGTGAGGTACTAAAAGTATCTGTGTCCTCTACCCACTAGATACCGGTAGCATCGTCTCTCCTAGAATGACTACTGAAAATGGCCCCAGACATTGCCAAGTGTTTCTCAGAGGGCAAAATTGTCCCCAGTTATGAATCCCTATTTGGAGGTCTTCACAGGGCTTAAAAGGCTCTCTGTGCATTTCCAATACTTTTCCATGTGATAAGGAGTCTTGGCCTGCTTGTCACTGTGTGGGCCAGGTACACCTCATAATCTAAAGGGTTGGGTCCAAACCTGGGGTAGTGTCTCAGGGTGGTGTGAGAATTAAAAAAGATATTGGATAGACTGGTGTATTGAGTATCACTGTGTAACCCAAGTCTGCTGTGGGAACTTAGATGAAAATATATTAGGGAGGGCTTATTTTGGCTCAGTACAGGCCATGGTGTTACCAGTGACTCTAACAACTGTGGACATGGTGTTACCAGTGGCTCTAACTGTGGAGCTTGAGGCAGCTGGCCATATCATGTCCATCGTCAGGAAACAGAGGAGAAAGCTTCTGCTTGACTATCCTTCTCCTCTTCATTCAGTCCAGACCTCACGAACGGTCAGGATCGGTCTTCCCTCAGTTTAAACAGTTCTAGAGACGCCTTTCTAGACCTACTCAGAGATATGTTTCCATGGTGACTCTAAATACAGTAAGTCAAGTTGAAAATGGGAAACTGGGATGGTAAGATGACTCAATGGATAAAGCTGTTTCCTGCTAAGACGGATGATCTGAGTTCAAATCCCAGGACCCACATGGTAGAAGGAGAGAACTGATTGCTGAAAGTTGTCCTCTGATTCCCAACAAATAAATTAATGAGTGTGATGTTAAAAAAAATTTTTAAGGGGCTGTAGACATGCCTCAGTGGTTAAGAGCACTTAACAGCTCTTGCAGACGACCTGAATTCAGGCTCCAGCACTCACATGGTAGCTCATACTCCCCTGTAACTACAGTTCTTGGGTCCTGATAACTGCTTCTGGCCTCTGAGGGCTCCTGAATGCATGTGGTACGTATAAATTCACAAAGGTATACACACACACACACACACACACACACACACGTACACACACACTAAATACTTACATCTTTAAAATTTTTAAAGAAAATTAAAATTTAAAGATCTGTACAATTAAAACAGAGAGAATGAGAAATGAGATCTCTATGGCAAATTGCTCCCAATCCACCAGTATAAAGGAGGGTTGAGAAGTATTTCTATATGATTGTCATGATTGTCATGAGGGGCCCTTTGACTCTTACCTCCAGCCTTTTCTCACACACACACACACACATACACACACACACACACACATACACACACACGAAAAGAAAAAGAAGCAAAGGAAAGAAAAGAAACTGAGGTGAGAGGATGTAAGCCATCCTTACAACATAAGTCATACAGATCCCAGGAACAGAGTGTCATGAGTGGAAGAAGAGACATCATAAGGCTGAATGGGACACAGGTAAACCAGAGGTGGCACTTGGAGGGGGGTGCCGAAGGATGGACGGGGTTTGAAAGGTGGACTTGGGCACTGCTGTGGTAGGGATGTGAAGCATAGGGGCCCGTGGAGGGAGAAGAGTTTCCCACTTGGCTGCAGATCAAATCTCACAAGGAAGTAGTGGGAAAGAAAGCTGGCCAGGAAGTGAGAAACACTAAAGTGTTCACAAACATGAAGTCTACAGCGCAAAGTGCTTCTAAACAAAAACGGTATTCTCCACCTTCAGGGGTATTACATATTAACTCTGCTTCCATTTGTAAAAACCCAGGTATGGAAGTTGATGTAATTGGAGTTGGTCTGTTTCGTCACAAGACCTATCTTTCTCACCAGTTACACACTCTCCTTTCTCTCCTCCTCTTCCTTTTTACAAGAGACTGATAAGTGCAACTGTCTAGTTTCTTTATCATGCCCCATGGTTGTCCTTCTGGATGGCTTGAGTTGTTCCGGGCTTTCTGGAATCCAGAGTAGCCCTGAGTGCTGGGGACTGAGGTAACCCTGAGTTGTTCACTGTGGAAATGTCTGTGTCTCTGGATGGCTTGAGTTGTTCCGGGCTTTCTGGAATCCAGAGTAGCCCTGAGTGCTGGGGACTGAGGTAACCCTGAGTTGTTCACTGTGGAAATGTCTGTGTCTCTGGATGGCTTGAGTTGTTCTGGGCTTTCTGGAATCCAGAGTAGCCCTGAGTGCTGGGGACTGAGGTAACCCTGAGTTGTTCACTGTGGAAATGTCTGTGTCTTACCCTGTGCCACTTCTCTCCTAAAGCCACCCACCGTCAGTGGGTGTTCCTGGATCTTGGATGTGCCCGGCTGTCTGGATGATTGGCACCTGGACCAGGGGAGCCTGACGGCATTTGGACCATCTCTGAACAACTTAAGAAGGGCTGTCATCCACCAAAGATGTCCTTGCAGCAATCAATCAGAGCCTCTCAGAAGAGCTTTTGAGTAAATGATGGACAAAACAACAACACAAAAAACCCTTGGCTATGTCAAAGGGCTGGACTGGAGGACAAGTGTCTGGAAAAACACTTGGCAGTACTGAGTATTTACTGCTGCTTGCCTGGCCTCAGGTACCTGTGGCTAGCTTTTAACTTCTATTGTGAAATCATTTAGACACACCCATGTATAGTGTGTGTGTGTATGTGTGTGTGTGTTTTGTGCTCATCTGTGGCTTTTTAACTTCCTTGTTTCTCATCTGCTTTGAGGTGGCCCGCTGTGTTTTTGGAGTATACAGCTCAGCTGATAACATGGGGTCCTGCCGCCTCTCTCTAGATTTGGGGGTGGAAACTTGTGCCCTGGCCCAGTGGAGATGACTGGTGGGGTGTGGGGAGAAGAGCTTCAGTGGGTTGAATCCAGGCATGGGATCCAGGAAAGGAAACCACGTAGCCAGGCTTGCAGTGTGGTATAGTAAGGACTGCTGCTGTCTCTGTTGTGGCTTCGTCTTCCAGAACCCTTCCCCCCACCTTGCTTTTGGTCACACTCTTCCCTTTTACTGCACTTCAGTAGATAAGCTGCTGGAGCTCTTAGGAGTGCCAAGAGGGGCACCATTTAGACTCCTGGAGAAGAGGAAGGGTAGGTATGTAAACATCTCTACCATGACACATAGGGGATTATAAAAAGGGAAAGGAGGGTTTGCTCATAAACTCCTGGCATTGGTTGTCTAGGTCACACTTACATATAATAGCAATGTACACATTAAGTGTGGACAAATGTAAAAGCTGGTCCCAACTGTGGAAAAAGTAAAGCAATTATAATAACCGGCTAATGTGACGAATGTGTTACACAAAGAATAAATGGGATCGCATGGAATTCTTGGAAAGCCTAGCTAGGTGAGAAGAAAGAGAAGGTGCTGGGACTGAAAAGGGTGGAAGGAACTTACCGAGTAAAGCCTCGCTGCCAGGCAGTATGCCTTTTGGCTTCTTGAAGTAACCAAGTGAAGCCAGAGCAGTTGCTCTATCTAGCAAGGAGGAAGTGCAGTGGGAAGCAGGCTGGAGAAAAAGACCCAGAGCAGAGCCTTTAGGGTGTGGTCTTTTACCTGAATACAGAAAGGAACTGCTGAGGAATTTTACCCAGGGAACTGACATCTTTGGCTTTCTGGTTTGGTTTTGTATTTTAGTTGAATCATAACCTGTGGTAAAGTATATAGATATTCAACATCCCCAAAGGTTTATGCAGGAATACTCAGACTGAGAGATAGAATGTGTCCATCCCAGACTTGTTTTTCAGATCATTTGTTGCTGGGGTGTTGAGAGTAGATGACGCGAGTGAAGGGAAGGGAAGGTGAATCTGAATGTTCCCCATCTCTTTGGTGGAGTGAAGGGAAGGGAAGGTGAATCTGAATGTTCCCCATCTCTTTGGTGGAGTGAAGGGAAGGGAAGGTGAGTCTGAATGTTCCCCATCTCTTTGGTGGAGTGAAGGGAAGGGAAGGTGAATTTGAATGTTCCCCAACTCTTTGATAGAGTGGTGGTGCTGGCCTGGACCTGAGTAGAATCAGAGTAGGCAAAGGTCAATGAGAAAAGGGAAATAAATGGCTGGAGATAAAAGCAATTAGACTTGCTCTAGGTGTGCGTGGGAGGAGTGCAGGCAGAGGTACTGATTTCTAGGTGTGGAGTGTGAGCAGTGTGGCTGGCCATGGTCTCTGATACAGAGATAGAGCAGGTTAAATGAAGAACAGGCATTCCAGGAGAGGGAAGAATGGAACATTCCATTCTGGACCCATTAATTTTTAAACACTCATGAAAGATGCAGGTAGGGACATCACCTGGATAGGAGTGGGCCAAAGCTACACAGCCAAGAAGTACCTGCTTAGACGTAGAGATCAGCCGCATGGACTGTGTTGTCTAGGAAAATGGGGTGATGTGGGAAAGGGAAAACAAGCCAGGATTGGAACAAAAAGTTACAAATATTTAAAATCAGAGTGGACGAGTTGATGAAAGAAGTCTATTCACTGTTGCAACCAAAATGCCTGTCAGGAATAAAAGTGGAATGATTTATTTGTGTCCAGAGTTCCAGAAAGTACATTGTGGAGAAGGCATAGTGGAGTTTGAACTTGTGGGAGGCAGGAAGCAGAGAGCATGCCCAGACCCAGAGACCAAAAAGACTTCCTGCCTCTAAGGATCTACTTCTGCCAGTCAGGCCCTGACTTCCCAGTACTTCCACCTGGGGAACAGGCCATGAGCCTGTGGGGAACATTTTAGATTCAAACTTAACCAAGGTGGAAAAATCTAAGAATAGGAGGACATAAAAAAATTCCCATCTGGTGTGCATCAAGAATAGGAAGGAAAGAAGAAGGAGAAGGAGAAGGAGAAGGAGAAGGAGAAGGAGAAGGAGAAGGAGAAGGAGAAGGAGAAGGAGAAGGAGAAGAATATGTTCCTAACTGGTGTGAACAATGAAGGTATGTATAGAGAATGTTGAAAGAGGATATTTGTATCTGTTGCATCTGGTGATTCGGAGGTCATGGTGACCTTGAAAACTCACCTCAGTGAGTCAAGGTGAGTGGGGCTAACATCGTCCAGATGAGTAAATTGAAGAGAATAGGTACTTAGTAGAAACACATGCTTTGGCTGTCTTGAGATAAAAGAAGAGGGCCAGTGTGATGGCTCAGTGGGTAAAGGAGCTTTCTGCCAATCCTGACGACCTGAGTCCTATCTCCAGAAAACACAAAGTGGAATGAAAGATCTGAGTCTCCCAAATGGTCCTCTCATCTTCACACACGTCTTGACATACACATAACCCTGCACCTGAGTGCAGGCACGTGCACGGGGACACAGATTCACGCCTGCTGTACACACACTAAGTAAATGTTTAAAAATTTTTTAAGACGAAAAGGGACAGGCACTTGGTACTGAAAGGGATTGAAGACACAGGCAGGGAACTGGAGAGCCACTTGGCATAATAATAATAATAATAATAATAATAATAATAATAATAATAATAATAATGATAATGCAAATTGTTGTTTTAGGGGATCTCATATATCCCAGGTTGGTCTCAAACTTAGTAGGCTATGAAGGATGACTTTGAACTCCTGGTCCCCCTGCCTTTACCTCCCTAGAACTAGGGTTACAGGTGTGTGCCACAAAGCATGACTTGAATTTTTAACAAGAGATATAGTAGAGCTTGCTTTCGGTTGGTAACTCTCAAGCATGGAGGAGGATACTAGGCTAGAAGAAAACCTGAGGATCCAGGACTATGAGAAAGGAGGAGAGTGGAATCCAGAGTAGGAGGAGATAGGTAGATACATAGATACATAGATAGATACATAGATAGACACTAGATACATAGATGATAGATAGATAAGGACACACATACTAGTAGGAAGAGGTTGGTGGTGAGATGATGAGGAAGTTGTACATATTTTTTTGTTCATTTGTTTTTGTTTTTGAGACAAGGTCTCACATAATCCAGGCTGGCCTCATAATTTCTGTGTATGTCAGAATAGTAAAACTTTGGTTCCTCCTGCCTCTGCCTCCTGGATGCTGGGACAACAGGTGTAGGTTGGGTTATGCAGCACTGGGAATTAAGTCCAGGGCTCCAAGCATGAATGTTAGGCAAGTACTCTACTAGTTGAGCTACATCTCTCCCTTTTCTCTTGAATGAAACAAGTGAGCCTAACCCAGCAGCACGAGCTTTGAGGAACGGATGCAGAGTTGTTTAAACAAGCTTGACAGTGGGGGGTTGTCAAGGTGGCTCAGAGGGCAAAAGCACTTTCCATGCAAACCTGACAGCTTGAGTTCAGTCTCCAGAACTGCATGACTTTGGACATGGTCTCTTTCCTCTGCAGTGTTTGCCCTCTTACGGTGAGATGGGAGTAGAGACGGGGAATCACCTGGAAGCTGGAGGCCATTTAACCTGGAGTACTCAGAGCAGTAGAGACAAGAGAGAAGCTGCCTCGACAGTGTGGAAGGAGAGAACCAGTCTCTGAAAGTTGTCCTTTGACCTCTACACACATGATGTGACACCCCACCCATCACTGTTGCCACCACCACCACCACCACCAAGTTAAATTGAAACATAAGACAGTGAGACCTGGACATACATGGACAGATGACAGTCCAGTCATGAGTACCTGCCTGAGATTTGTAATCATAAATTGAAATTGAAGCCAGATCAGTGTGGCTTTCTCTACTGCATGCTGTGGTGCCAGTTGGAAGAGGCAGAGCATTAACTCTCTGTTGGACCATTTGACCCAGGCCTTCCAGAAAAGTCAGGGTATGAGGGGAGTAGGACTGTCACAAAGCTCACGGGAAGTACAGGAGCCACATGCCTTTCATCTGGGCCTCCATGGAGAACTTTTCGCTCTACAGCATGCTCTGGCATGAGCTGACAGCTGAGGTAGGGCACACACACCTGAGAAGCAGTGGTGACACCCAGTGACGGCTCCACGAAGTGCACCTTGTTGGATGTGGGCTGGGAGCCGCTCTCCAGGAGGCTGTTCTCTTTCTGCTCTATTCAGAAAGGCCTCAAGCTCTTCCAGTTATCTCTTGCAGGAGTCTGTGTCTGTGCCCTGGCATTCTCAGGAGTGGTGAAGCTTCTGTGGGGTGGGATAGCATGGAGCGCAGTGCAAAGACATCCAGAGTAATCTGGGGTTGTTCGCTCCAGAAGCCCAGCCATCTACTTCTCGGTTGGGTCCCTGTTAGCCAGGAACAGTTTTGCTTCCTGGATGCTGTGGCATTCTAAAGCCCTGCCCAGGTTCAGGCAAATGCTGGGCAGTGCATACATTCTTCTATTTCACAGCAATCCTGGGGGCATTTCCCTTTTGCCTGGCTCAAGAGTCGAGTGAGGACTGTCCTCTTCTCCATCACCTCCTAAGAGTGGTCTTCCCTCTAGTCCTAAAACATCATACTGTCCCCAGTTCTGTTTGTCCCAAGCACTAAAATCTGGTTTTGTCTACAGAGTCATGGGTCCTTCTTCAAGTCTGTTACCTGTTTGTTGCCTGGCACAAGTCCTGAGTTGGACTTTCAGGCTAAGGAGCTGGCTACCCCTTAGTTAGAGGCTATTCTTGAAAAAATAAGAATAAAAAAATTTGGGACTGGAGAGATGGCTCAACACTTAAGAGCATTTATAGATCTTTCAGAGGATTCCAGTCCAGTTCCCAGCACACACATGGTGGCTTCACAACCATCCGTGACTCCAGTTCAGGAGGACCCGATGACCTCTTCCTATCTCTGCGAGCACCAAACAAGAATGTGGCGTACTTACATACATGCGAGCAAAACATGTAAAATAAAATACATCTTTAAAATAATTTATTTTACTATTTTTTATTTTACTATTTTTAATTGTGTGTGTACATGTGTGAGAGGAAATGTGTGTGTATGTGTGCATGCATGATCATGTGTGTGTGCACACACACACATGAGAGAAAGAGAGAGAGAGGGGGGGGAGGAGAGAGGGCAAATGGCAAATGCCTGGTACTAGAGCCGACTGCCTGATGTGTGTGATGAGAGGATCAACATGGTGGAGCTCCCTTTGCAACGCCTTTTGAACCCCACACTTTTTGCTGTTCTGATATATATATCATAAGATTGACGGAGAAAGAGAAACTCCATAGCAGTGTGTTTGCAGAGGCAAAGTGGCAGTTGGTGTTCTCCTAAGACTGGGAGAACACTGAAAGGGAGGTTATGGGAGAGACACATCAGCCATAAGACAGGCGGAATTGGCTTCACAGCCCAACTCTTCAGTTGCTGGCTGTGGCTCCTGCAGCATGCCCTGGTCCTCTCAGGCACTCAGTGTCTCCGAAGGATTAATCCCTCCCTCAAGACAATTGAGGTTCCATGTATGAAGCACCTGAAACAGAGTAGGCACTCAGTAAATGCTATCCTGAAAATTCACTGATTTGGGTCATGCAAAATGATGTGTCAGGGAAATTAATTATGAGCCAGGCTGTGCTGTAATAGAGACTTTGTAGAAATTCTGTGATTATTATAATCACGCCTTAAAATAGACCATTATTCTTCCTGACTTGACATAGGAAACTAGGACTTGAGAAGCTACTTTACAGCTAGTAAGTAGTTACACTGGAACTTGAATGATGATGGTATCTAGCACTTAGCTTGACATACATATACAACACCAGGGCTGCCTCAGTTGGTAGAGCTTGACCTGTGTGAAGCCCTGGCTTTGATCTGAAGCACTGTATAAACTGGGTGTGGTGACTCTTGCCTATAATCTCCGTACTGGGAGGTGAAGATAGTGAGGTCCAGAACTGGAGGTTTTTGGGTACCTAGGGAGTTTAAGACTCTGGACACACGCAAACCTACAAACCATACCCAAAAGTGGCAGCAATTACAATTACTGTGTTGCTGGTGGGCCAAAAAGAACCAGATATGCAAATGACTTAATTAAAGTATTCAATTCATCCTTAAACCAACTTCATGTGCATTAAATAAAATATGGGATGTTATGTCCCTTTATACACATCTAGCTGTGTATTTAAAGCAAGAGAGGTTTCCATTTGCTCTGAAGTGGGATGTGGCACAAATCTAGAACACGCAGGAGAGGAAGGCTGTGCAATCTGTCTGTAGAATGCTTACAGCAGTCTTTTGAAAGTTTTAAGAATCTTTGCCAAGAGTGTATCTTTCACCCTCCCAATTGCTGTAGTACAAATGACCTAATGACTTCAGGGGAAATCCCTGGAGAGGGTCTCTATGCCTTTTGACCCAGCCATGTTAACTGAGAGGAAATGCAAACTTGACCTGTAGCCCAGTGGGGACCCTGGCTAGCCTGCCTGCTAGTGCTTAGCCTCCCTATCAGCTTTTCTGGTCTCCTCTGCTTCCTGGTCCGCTGCACTTAAGCCAGCTCTAGCAGTTGTTTGCTTGTGAGGTTATGCTTGCTGGCTTCGCTCCTGCAAGGTCTCAGAGAAGGCCTGATCCGTGTGTATACACAAGCCCCACCCTGACTGCTGTGGCTCTCCTTGGAAAGCCATTTGACAGTCCATAAAGGGCCCAGACACAGAAAACAAATGGACAATGAGTCCAACCAGAGATTTTAAGTTGTGCCCCTTTAATTCAGGCTAGCCTTCCTGCTCTGTTCAGTGCTAGTGCCTCAATGTGCCCAAGAGTTTCCTGGGCACTTATTCCTCCTGCCTTCCCCTGGGCAGGTGCAGGTACATAGTTCAGCAGGCCTTCTAGATTGATGTGGGTCTTAAGTTCCTTCTCCTACTGGACTGTGATAGTGACAGTGGCTCAGCTATACATTCATTTTTTGCACAAGTACTTATCTGGGCACCAGCAAGTGCCAGGCACTAGTCTACATATCAGGGGTCAGCAGGGAACAAGAAAGTAAAGTCCCAACCCTCAGACGTTATATCCTGAAAAGGGAGAGATTGTGAAGATTAGAATCAGTAGAGATGCTCCATTAAAAACATATCCAGGCCCAGGAAGCAGGAATGATAGGAGGTGCCCCAAGTGGACTTCTCAGTGGAGGCATGAACAGACACCCATGCAGGGAAGGGAGGAAGCCACTGGGATACTGGAGTGAATGTTCCAGACGGGAATGCTGAGGCCTGACATTGGGTAAATATGACCCATTTTTTTATGCTAGCCTGTGATGAGCACTTACTTAATTCTGAAAAAATATGCAAAAGTCTACCAGTTAAACCACTTTTTAAATATACAGCTCACTAGCCTTAAGGCGATTGCATTTTGTTTTTTGTTTGTTGGTTAGGTTTTTTTTTTTTTTGGTCTTGTTTTGTTTGATTGATTGTTTTTGAGATAGGGTTTCTCTGGGCATTTGCACTTTTGTATAGACACAACCACAATCCATCCCCAGCACTTTTTTTCCCTTTTCCTTTTCTTAAACCAAACCTCTGGACCCATTCCATAATAAGTCTTCCTAAGGAAAGATAGAAAGAAAAAAATTATGAGGCATGGCAGGGAATGGAGCCCCTCCAGAGTCTGGCTGAAACCTCTAGCCTGCTGAAAATCAAGAATTACAACGTAATTAACATTTGCTTAAGACCTTCCCTCTTTCCCAGCTGAAAACCTGCAATTTTTAGGAATCTCAACAGAAAACAGTGAAAGACCCCTTGTGCCACCCCACTGGCTCTTGATTTCATCTTAGCACATTATAATTCCACTCAAGACACCTCTGGAGCCATCTTACAATCCTATTTCTCAAAGAAGAGAGAGAAAAAAAGTTCCTGGGGTATTCAGGTATCTGAGGAAGTAAGGATACTTGTCACCGGTCCTGATGACTGGAGTTCCATGCCTAGAAGAGAAGGCCGATTCCTGCAAGTTGTTCTCTGACTGCCACCTATATGCCATGGCACATGTGTGCCAGCAGCCAACATACTCACATGTGCGTGCATGCAATGAATGTAATATTAAAAATTTTTTCTTGCAACCATTTGAGATATAACTAGAGACACCAAGATGGCATATGTGACTACTGCTAGGACAGTTAACTGTGACTCTGTCTTTGAGAAGCCCATACCCATGCTCTCAGGTGTTCCTTAGACTTTTCCTAAGCACTTACCTCTCTCTCTCTCTCTCTCTCTCTCTCTCTCTCTCTCTCTCTCTCTCTCTCTCTCTCTTTCTCTCTCTCAGTGTGTGTGTGTGTGTGCGCGCGCGTGTGTGTGTCTCTGTCTCTGTCTGTCTCTTTCTCTCCTGTGTATGTGAAGTCTAAAGGTCATGTTGCATTTCTTCCTTTATTGCTGTCCACCTTAACTTTTCTTTTATTTTTAACTTTTCTGTGAGTGACTCTTTTTCCTACATGAATGAATGTATGTACACTACATGTGTGCCTGATGTCTAAGGAGGACAGAAAAGAGTGTTAGATCTCCTGAGATTGGAGTTACAGATAGTTGTGAACCACGATCTGGATCCTGGCAATTGAACCCCGGTCCTCTGGAAGAGCTGCCAGTACTCTTAACCACTGAACCACCTCTCTTGTTCCTCTTCTCCTTATTTAAAAGACAAGACCTTTCTATTCCTGAGCCAAGAACTCCTCAATTTCACTATGCTGGCTGGACAATGAGCTTCAGGGAGTCTTCTGTCTTTGCATCCCCAGAAATGAGATACGGCCACCATGCTTAGGTTTCCATGGGTGCTAGGAATCCGAACTTGGGCCCTCAGGCTTTTACAGCAAACACTTTATTGATTGAGCCATCTCCCCAGCCCTTTCTATTTTTAATAAATTCCAGCTCTGCTTCATATTTACTTGCTCCAATTTTTTTTCCGTGTTGAAGTCAAGAATCCCATTTACTTGAATTGGGGTTTCCAGAAGATTAGGGACACTCGTCAGGTTGTGTCCTCCACAGTAGTGCGGAGTTGTGCCTCTGTCCCTAGCACTACTGATATTTCTTCACTCACCCCAGTGGCTACTATTATTTTACTTTTCAGGTAACGAACACTGTTATGCTTTGGATATCGTTATAGTGAAGGTTCTCTAGAGGGACAGAAACCAAGGAGATGAAGCTGAGAACCCTATAGTTACATGGCCTTGAGGCTAAATGCCAGAATCATCCCACAATAGCTGTCTCTCATTGGATCTTTAAACTGGCTATTATTCAGTTCACAAGTTGGTGTGCCTCAGTAGTTCCAATCTGGTACTGGGAGCCCAGAAGTTTCCTGGAGGAAAACTTGGAAACAATTCTGCTATTAGTGAAGGAATCACCATCATCATCATCATCACCACCATCAGCAGGAGGAGGAGGACAAATCAACTCTGAGGCAAGAGGGAAGGCCAAGTGAACAAAAGGCAAGATGATCTTCCTTCTAACATACCCTTTTTAAAAATTAAAAAATGTATTTATTTAGACTTATTGTATTGTATACATATGCCTTGTTGTAACTTTAAAAAATGGTGCCCAAAAGATGCCATGTGACAGAGCTTGGGTAAGGGGGGGTTTTATTGGGGGGAAGTGAATGGAAAATGGGGGAGGGGAGAGGAGAGATCGGCCTCTGGGGACAGGAGCAGCAGAAGAGAAGGAAGAGGCAGAGAGGGGAGCGGGGAGAGTGAGTGGGAGAGACAGAGAGACAGACAGGGAAGCAGAGAGGGGGAGAGAAAGATGGGAGGTGGGCAGGGCCCCTTTAAAGGGGAACATAGTGAATGTGCACAGGAGGTGCTCTTAGTGGCTGTTTCTGAGAATGGATCCTGTCAGACCGCCAAGGGCAAGCCAGTAGAGATGTCTAAATACTAACATACTTGTATTTACCTGCACAACTTGCAAACCTAGTGCCAGAAAGGGTCAGAAGATGGCATCAGATGCCCTGTAACTGGAGTTGTGGTTGTCTGTGAGCCACCATGTGGGTGGTAGGAACTGAACCCAGGTCTTCTGGAAGAGCAGCGAATGATTTTCATGGCTCAACATATCTTCAGCTCCCTGATGTATCCCCCACCCCCTTTAAAAAAAACTGGGCTGCTACCAGAAAGTGACATCTATAGTCAGGGTGAGTCTTCCCATATCAATCAAAGTGATCAGGACATATCTTCAGTTGGGGTTCCTGGCTTAGGTGATTCTAATTTGTGACAAAGTGACATTAAAACCAGCCATGACAGATAAGAAATGTCACCCCACAGGTCAGATGTTGAAGGGTTGGTCCCCAGTACAGCAGGGTTCAGAGGTGAGGCCTTTGGAAGTGTATTGAATCGTGAGGATTCTGACTTCATCAATGGACTAATTCTCCAGTAGAGTCATAGTTTAATGGACTATTGGGAGGATATGGAAACTTTAGGATGTGGAGCCTGGTTAAAGAAGTAGGTCCCTGGGGGCATGTCCTCGAAGAGTATTGTGTCCCTTGTTCTTTCTTATTTCTCTGTCCCTTCCTGCCCTACCCCTTCTCTTT